GTCAAAAGTATCATTTTTAGTTCAAGTCATATTTTACCGGGTGTTGGTGTGTGTTGGTATTTTTGGTAAGCTTTTACTGGATCGGGCTGTTTTGGGGTTGCCTCCTCTTTCTTCTTCTCTTCCTCCTTCTTCTCCTTATGGACAACTTCAGCAACTTCAACCTCTTCAAGCTTCTTCTCCGTGGCATCGGGTTCAAGATCTCTTCCACTTCTCAGAGTGATAGCGTGAACTTGCTCTCTTGGATTATTCTCAGTATTACTAGAGAGGGATCCCATAGGCCTTTGCAAGCTGACCCATTTGAGTCTGTATGGTCTGAAGACTTGCTGCAGTCGTTTGCATGATTTTTTGGAGTGTCTCTTCCAAGCTAGAAAGTCTTTGTTCGGTCTCCTTCGTGTGATTCCCTTGATTCTGCTGAGGTGCTTGCTGTGGGGCCTTGGGTTGATTATAGTTCCTGTACTGCGGCTGATTTCCCTGCTCGTAATTCCCATATTGTTGCTGATTGTATGGCTGATTGTAGTAGTCCTGCATTTGAAAATTCATCGTATCTACTTGCTCAACTTCAAGGGCTGCCAAGGTGTGTGCGATCATATTACATTCATGTGGCCAATGGAGGCCCCCACACGTACTACAAGAAAGAATAATAGGTCCAGAGGCCACCATGTTCACGCTAGACACCGAGTGAGCAGTTTCTACCTTCTTCCCTAGATCATCAACGCTAGTCATAATAGTTTGACTGACATGGATCATTTCTTAAAGAATGACTTAGGTTATCCAATGATTGACCAACCGGGAGCAATTTATTTACGATACTTAATTGACATTCATCAAAAGGATCTAATGAGCTATGAGTTTAATAGATCTTTTTTAGCAGAAAGACGCATATTCCTTGCTCATTCTCAGACAATGACTTACCCACAAACTTCGTATGCTCATTTAGCATGTCGTGGAAAGTCTTTTTCGCTCCGCTTAGACTTATCCCCCTTTAGAGGTATTTTAGTTATCGATTCTATAGGAACTGGACGGTCCTATTTGGTCAAATACCTAGCAACAAACTCCTATATGCCTTTCATTACGGAAGATGAATCAAGTAACCATAAACACATACCAAAAACCTATTTACTTTTCTCGAGTTTTGACAAGAAAAATAAATAAAAGTGCTGAACAAAAAAATTAAATTGAAGATATGCAAAAACAACTAAAATAAACTTCTGAAGCTATGCCCGTTCTCCATCATATCCTCTTGATGGCCTTGTGACAACCTCAATTCTGTGCTAGGTTAGCCATTATAGAGCATGTCCTCTCTCTCATGTTTTTGTCGAATTCAGCTCCACCTCCATCCATATATATTGATGTTCACGCCGATCCATTTTGCATCCATTGCTTAATGAGAGTCCTTCGAGTAGCCAAAGTGTCTCCCCTCGTGTCCAAACATCCCAGCTCGTCCTTCATCTGATTTGTTAGTCGCTTTCCCTCTTGTGGCCCTAAGTTGTGGATCGAAGGGTCTAACTGTGCTCTCCATACTCTCCACCGGCTCACGAGAACACTAACTTTCTACTTGCCCAATAATCTCACACATAAAGTAAAAACTGAGTAATTTCTAATAATCCAAAGTCACACAGAAGCTAATGTAATACCGGAGACTAGCTTTAATGCAACCTTGCATTTTCAAATTTACTATTAACCCCCTCAGGTTATGTCATAATTATTAATGCAACCTTGCGTTTTTAAAGATCAATTAGTTACCCCCTGAGTTTGGATCATTCTCATTCTTTGCCCCTCACGTTAATATTTGTTAAATTTAAATTTAATATAATTCTTAAATTAAATGAAAATTGTACATAAAATTAATTTTAAATGTAAATCACAAATTATTATCATAGTTATAAGTCATTGTTGTTGATCGCTATTTTTCTACTTAGCTACTCCATCGTGGAATAAATATTATTGAGAGTAATTAAGAGAAAATACTCACGAGTAAGATATAAAAGTATCATGAATTTTTAATATTTTTATTTTAAAAAATTCAATATCATTTAGTATTATAAAACCAATAAACTTTTTACATTCAAAAAAGCTTTTGTAAAGATAAAAACATCACAAATTAGTAACAGAGTTAATAAAAAATTTAAATAAATTAAAAACTGTGATATTTTAGGTCTTAGATTGATAGCTTTGAACAGGGCCGGTCCTGAGGAAATGAAGGCCCTGTGTAAAAAAAATAATTGGGCTTTCTTTACAAAGTTTCAACACAAGTTAAAAAAATCGAACCGAAACCGCACCGACTCAAACGGGACTCGAAAATCGGGACTCGAACATAAATCGGTTTAATGAAGGTTTTTTGAGTTATAAAATCGGTTCAAACCGAACTGAACCGATTTTTATTAAGGTGTTTTAATTATTTATTTTGTAGAACAAATAGGTAATATAAAATTTGTACGTCCGTATTTCAACAATTAGTTGATTTGGTCTGGTGGTTGATGTTTAGAAATCAGCGTGCATGCTTTTATTTTCACCCGGGTTCAAATCCCGCATGCCTCGCTTCTTTTCTTTTTTGTTTCTAAAGTTTAAGATTCCCACACCGGTGGAAACAGAGGATTTACTACTCCTTCGTTCATATATACACGCTCCTTCTTTGCAGATGAGGAATACGCGAAATGACGAACCAGGCCTGCTTCAAAGCCTTGCCCTAGTCCACCTAAGTAATAATACGTACAAAAAAAAATTGGGCCCTTCCAATTTTTTGGGCCCTGTGCGGTTGGACACCCTGCACACCACCAGGGCCGGCCTTGGCTTTGAATTATTTAGATCATGGAATAATTAGAATAATCAAAATCATCACACATTTTATCTTTTAGGTCCCTTATTGAAACTAAACTTATCTTTTTGGTCATGGAATGATAATTTTTTTTTGGTATTTCTTCTTTGCCACACACGAAAGAAATGTCATTGCGATTAATTGAAGCGGATGAATTACAAATAAAACTTTTATATTTATAATGAATAAGTGCTTAAATTTTGATCACATTTTAGAAACAATTATTTTCATGTATCCAATGAATATTACTCGCGAGTTTTCTCTTTAACTACTCTCACTAAGGATGTTCTTACTTGGACTGTAATTTACTGGTCTGATCTGGTTTGAACTGGTCTGGTCTGGTTTCTTTGTATTTTTATGACTATCCAAGTCTGGTCTGATCTGGTCTGGGAGGAATTACAGTCCAAGTAAAAACATCCTAATAGTTAATCCACGATCGAGTAGTACATTAAGTAGAAAATCAAACAATCATCAACAATGACTTATAATTATGATAATAAATTGTATTATATTTTAAAAATTAATTTTATGTACAACTTTCATTGAATTTAAGAGGCATATTAAGTTTAATTTAACAAATATTAACGTGAAGGGGTATATAGTAAGATGATCAAAACATAGGGGGTAACTAATTGATTTTTGAAAATGAAAGGTTGCATTAATAATTATGATATAACCTCAGGAGACTAATAATAATTTTCCCTATAGGGATTAGTAGTATTACTCGTATAAACAATGTACGCCTTTTTTTAAAGAGCTCATTTACTAAGAACTAAACAGTTGAGCGTGCTTATACGAGGGTAGTAGTAGGATTAGGAATGGACCCGGGCCGGGCCGGTTCCGGTTCCGGGCCGGGCTCGGGCGGGCTTTTTTTTGCAAATCCTTGAGCCCGGAACCGGCCCGGGTTGATACCGGGTCCGGTTCAATGTCTATTTTTTTTTGCTTTCTTGTTATCCCCCGACCCCCCCCCCCCTCACCCCCACCCCCAAACCTCCCCAAAACACCCAGCCCTACCCTAGGAAAAGAAAAAATATTGAAAAAACAAAAAAATGACCCGGGCCCGGCCCGAACCGCTCGGGCCGGTTCGCCCAAATCTCGGCCCGAGCCCGGCCCGCCTGACCCGCCCAAACAGGCTAAAAGCCCGGAATCGGCCAACCGGTCCCGGTCCGGTCCGAGCCCGCACAGTAGCGGGCCGGCCCGGTTCCGGGTCGGGCCTACCCGATTTAGTCCATCCCTAAGTAGGATGATTTATGCTTTGAATTTTTTTCACAATCCACAAGTGAGGATAAAGTGCTATGTAAAAACTTGTGTTGATTTGTGAGGATAATACTGTGTGTGAGTGCATGTTCTATGGATGTGTCTTCTTGGAATGTTGTCGGTTTAAGCCTGACAACAACAAAATAGGATGTACTCCCCCGTCCCATAAAATAGTTCTCGCATTGACTTGGATTGGATTTTAAGAAAGTGAGAATAAAGTGATATTGTATGGTTGTGATTGAGTAAGAAAAAGAGTAAATGAATGTGAGTCATACAAAACTTTCTGAAAGGGAAAATGAGAACTATTTTTTGGGACGACCCAAAAAGGAATCCGGGAACTATTTTGCGGGATGGAGGGAGCAATAAACTAATGCCTACGTCCCGTATTTAAGTTCTCACTTTCCTTTCCTGGATGTCTCAGACAAGTTCACACTTCTTTATTCGGCAAACAAATCTACACCAAAACAATGCAAACCAGTGCCCAAACAGTGCAAAAAGTGCCAAATAGTGTACTATACGGTAAAATTTATCCCTCGATACATTTACTTTCTTAATATGTATGGAGTCAAATCATGAATTTAAGGGAGTGTTTGGAACCGATTCTACTTCTGCCTTTTTCTTTTTTAAAGTAGAAGGAATATCAATTACGGAGTAGTTTTAAGAATATTCAAACACCTTCTTTTACCCGCACAGGTAGCTCAGTTGGTTCAGTGGTGGAAAATTTGGACCAAGTGACCAAGGTTCGAAACTCGCGGCGGCCGTGGAGGTCACAGAACCTGAAATAAGGCTGGATCGTACGCAAGGAAAAAGGCCTACCATCATTGGGCCGACTGGATCACCGATTAACTTACTCCCAAAAATCCTGTCGAGTCGGGGTATGGGGCTCCTGCTGTGCTGTGGGAGATTCCACTTTTGGACCAAGAATATTCAAACACCTCTTTGACGTGAAGAAGCGTAACTCGTCCGGGAGTTCTCCATATTACATTGGAAAGCTTCCATGAATTGCCTCTTTCAATCATCCTATGTTTACCTCAACCGGAACCAGTCGGAACACTTCTGTATCTTTGTCTTCAACCCCCGCCACAGCAACAAGGCTCCCCATCGTTTCTCCCCTTCCTATCCGCGCCGTCGCCACCACCGCCGTCGCCTCCTCCACAAATTCTTTCGGGATTTTTCAACCGGATTCGGCCCCTCCCCTTTGCCGCCTGGCAAAAACCTCAAATTAATCCCTGCACTCGACAGCTTACCCTCCCCGCCCCTGGACCGCCTCAGGGACGGTATTGAGTCTCAGCTCGCCGGGTTCCTCGACTCTGGTCTCGCCGCTGTAGAAGACCTGCAGACTCTCGTTCGCGTTGATGGTCAGACCCGGAAGATGGTGATATCCTGCCGCAGGTCCACGGTCGATTTCTTAGGCACTCTGTTCCTTTCCAGTATCATTATTCATTTCACTCTCAAGGGTTTCATTAAAATATTAGCTTTTGGACTTCGAAGAAACTACCCAGCAGGTAATGTGCATACGGTGTACAAAAGGGATCGGAGTCTGGGTGGGAGAGAGGTGTTGGTTGCGAAGAGGGAGACAGCTGATGATAGGACTAACAAGAATAGAATTAACATGCTCGAAAGTATTAATGGTATAGACAGTAACATACTCGCTTCTTCAGACTGGATTAGAGGAAAGACGTATTCGAAAAGAAGTAGCTCTATGAATAGATTGCCCAAATGGTGGTCGTCCACAACTAGTTCTGGTGAAGGACCGATTGAGTATCAGGAGGAGAATCAAAGAATGGCCAATAAATTGGTTCGAGGTATGTAAACTTCCTTACTGGTTTCAAAAGAACATTGTTTTTTAATGTATAAAACATTACACTGATTTTGCTCTTTCTCTTCATTTACTCAATTAAGACATGTGATTACTCATTACTAGCATATGTGTGTAGGGATTCATATATGTTTTCAAGACCGATCTACATCATATACGTAGAAATACAAGTACTTGAAGTGCATAAATGTACCATATATAATTATATACGGAGTATGTGTTAAGAGAAAATTTGAACTGAGATGTTGGTGGCTGGGTACTACACTACTACTAGAACATCTGTAGTGGAGCGGTTGGCAGTAGCAGGGATAGAGGGTGCTATAGCAGTAGTAGTGAGTGTTATAGTTCCACTTGAATTTATAAGCCTTGTTTGCAACTTGGATCTGAGGGGAGCAATTTTGGGTGTTAGAGGGGTTTTAAGATGTAAAATAGTTTTTTAGAGCAAAAAGTGATCTGCTAAACCCTTAAGATGTTTTATTGCGCCAAAACCTTTCATTTAGAAACAGTCTCTCTTTGCTTTAGTACAGAGGTAAGGCTGCGTACATCCAACCCCCTTACCCCACCGTAGGTGGGAGCCTTTGGGACACTGGGGTGATGATGATGATGATGATGATGATTGCACCAAAACCTTTCATTGAAAGTGTTCTTACAAGACAAAATCATATAGGGAACCATAAATGGTGTACTCATACGAGCCATACCGATAGAGCTCGATGTGTCATTGCATTTTTTGCTTCATATTTGACTCTTGCACTTTGAAAATCACAGTAATGGAAAAGGGCAGGCCAGATCAAATGATTTGTGCTAGACAAGTCTTAATTGGCCCTGTGATATGTGCTGCACCAGAAATCTAGAGTATTCTTGCAGCAGCAAAGCAGTGGGTATGGTTCCTCGATGTCTAAGAAATGTTGTTTGATTAGGAGTATTATTTAGACATACTTTCTATACCACAGAAAAATATCTTAGTTACTGGGTAAGTGATTTAGTTGCCGTACGAATTTTGGCCCTAACTTGTTTTTTGTAGTAGTCTAGTAGAGTATTGCATTGGATTCTGTATACTCTTTCATATCAAGAAGTTTTGCTCTGGGAGAATTACAAGCAAACATTTATCAAATAGAAACGGATTTTTGGCATTCAAGCAAACCCAACCCTAGTGAGTTCAGGATCTCAACAAAATCTCAACACAATCACAGATTATAACACCTTTGTTCCTTCTCCTTTTCAATTAAGCTTGTCATATGTTCTGGATCATACCAGAATACCAGATCCAATGACTTTCATGACGAACACTACAATGAGCTCATAATTTCATTTATCTGGTGCTTTGAAGTTTGAACTGGTTTCAATTTCATATATCCACCGTGCCATCTTGGGATGTCTATTATGGACCTTTAGCTATGTTTTTATCCGTTAATTCTCCTACTGGTTTTTAACTCTGTGAAGAAGTCACAGGAAATCACAGAGCATGTTTTCTACAAATAAGCCTTAAATCAACTAAGTACCTAGATTTATTACCTGTTTTCCAAAAGAGATTTTATTGATTTGTTCTCCTACTGTTTATTGATTTTTAATAGAAAGCAGTAAAAAAAAGAAGCACTAAAGTTGATGCTCTTAATGAAAACCAAATAACTGCTCTTAAAGCTCCGTTTCCACAAATCCTATACAGTAACTAGTCAACAACTAACTTCTTAGTGTTGGCCGCATGAGATAAGTACAACAAAACACTGTTAAAATAAAAAAAAATCGTCAAGTGAATTTTGTGATATCATTGGTTTCTCCTAGAGAGCCCTGGCGTCCTACTAGTTTTTCAGCAACCTTACCATCTTTATTTGAATGTCTATTTTGAACCTTCTTCCTCTCAAACTTCAAAGATCTTTACGTTCTTATCAACTTACCATTAATAATGAGAACTTGATCAGTGATCATGACTTTTGAAATTTAAAGAAGTGTGAAAGAGTGAGATGGGGTGGCAGTGGAGTATATACCGTTTTGAAATTATGAAATGCAATTTTGTTTGTTATAATGAGCATGTCTTTCTAAAGCTTCCATCAATATTATGGTCTTGCTTTTGTTGTTAAACCACAGCTTACAATTTGATTTGATTTCCAGCCATATTGGACAACAGAATGAGTGGAAGGGACATTTTGGTGGATGATATAATTCAAGTTAGTATTTATTGGCCTCCTCAGAGTATTTGTTTCTTTGTACCTAAGTATAGGTATAAACAGAGTTAACTAACTTTTTGTCGTGCTATTTCTGTTATGTTCTTATTAAATACAATCGCACAAGTCTGTTCAGATTATATTCTAAGCCTTTTGTTAACAACCACCTTAGTGCTCTTTATGAGTTAGAACATATCAAAGTTATAACTGGTAAATGACCTTAGTGGAGGGAAGTCAGAGAAGCTAGGCCATCTAGAAAGTATATGGAGGTGGGAAATGGATTTATTTGGGAAAGTTCTCGAAACAGGAGTAAACAAGTTTTGGAATTCCAAAATTGGACTCCTATGTTTTTTTCCCGAAATAGGAGTAACATGACAGTATTTACTGTCAACTTGGAGTTATTACTGCCAAAATAGTTTCAGTACCAGGCATTAACATGTTAGTATTTATTGCCATCAGTGGCAATATTTTTCAATCATGGCAGTAACGACTCCTATTTCAGGGAATAACATAGCAGTCATATTTTGGAATTTCGAAACCTGTTAACTCTTATTTAGGGCAATTTCCCAGTTTATTTCACTATTCATTGAGAGTTCTTTGATGCTGTTCATTTCTCATATAGCAAACATGATGTTTTCAATCTAACCATGAATTTTTACTGTTTTTTTAAGATAAGTACATGATTTGTGAAACATTTCCAAGAGATACTGAATATATTCTCTCTGCCAGCTATTACTATGTGCTTTTCATTTCCAGCAACATCAAGCACCACACGAATATGGAATCCCATTATTTACCAACGAAGATTTGCCAATTCCAATTTGGCTGCAACCACGTTTTCATATAAAATAGTATATATGATGTGCTTTAGCACTCCTACTTGTTGCCTTGTTGGTTTCATTGCTGTAGACTGTAGTCTCGGCTGTCTTGCAAATTAGATGTACTTTATGAATTGTGACTTGTTACATTATATTCAAGACAACATGATTAGTTTCTTTCTTGAAATATCAAATATGTGATTCATTGTATCTGGTTGGGAAAAAGTATACCAAACATAAAACATGTGCATTAGTAGGTAACTTGGTCTTGTTGTTTTTTCATCTCGCACTAACAGTTACGGCGGATATGCAAATCATCTAAAGTGAGGGTCTCATTTGACACTGAACATGCTCGAGATTCTCTCTACCGTACATCTGTTGATTATGTTCTGACCTACTGCGAAAGGTATACCATCTCTGGTTATTGCACATGCATTCAACGCTAAATGTATTAGCAGTTCCTCAATTTCTCAAGATTATATGAAGTTCAAAATTGTGCAGTACAGTGAATCGACCAGGCCTTATTCACATTGATGGTGAGGATGTGCACAAGTTCATTGCAGAGCTGTCTGATAATATTGACCTTCAGAACACTAGAGCTGCAAGAATGGTGTCTGCAGCTGTCGCTGCACATACAAGGTCCAGGCTTTTGCAGGCATGGGTAAGCTCTCAGGGTTAGGATCAGCAAAATGTTAGGTCTCCTTTGGATTGGATTTGGATTCCCGGGAAAAAGGTAAATCCTGGGGATTAGGTGTATTACCCATGTTTGTATTCAGAAAATCCGGGGTTTCACTTATTCACGCGTATCTTCAATTTCTTGAATAGGATGTGCATGTCACACCTCCACCATACATGATGTTATGTAGGAACTTGGGTGAATGCACTATTACACCGTCATTCCATACATGATGTTATGTGATTCACAGTAATCCATTTCATACTTCATAGTAATTCAATTTCCAGTTCTTCAGTTCTGATCAACAAATCAATTCAAACAGGGCCTAATGTCTTTTGCGCCAATTTCTAAGCTCTGATTTTCTTGAAGCTTTAGAAACAACCAACTTGGCACTATTGATATTATCTAAGTAGCATTTGTTCATCATCTGAAAATTTAAGAGTATTTTACAACAAGGAGAAGATCCTTAAATATTAAGACTGATGTAACTAGATGTTCATGAGTATTTGACCCACACCTACTCTAAAAATCTCAGGCCCTTGAAATGCAAAGCAGACATGCGGGAGCTGTTGAGGAACTTAGAAAAATATGTCTTATCCACAAGATATTCCCCCCTGAGGAGTACTCGGTATGTATACCTTGTTTTCAAGATGGATTGTTCCATTTCTGGTTGCAAAGGGTCACCTTCCTTGTGCTATTCATATTTATGCACTGATGACGGTTGTCTATGCATGTTCCCTCATTATCGATTTCTTAACTAGACAAATCGAATGGCTGCATGACCATGAAAAGGAACCATGTGGTCACGATTGAAGCTTATGAAAAAGCAAAAATCGTGTATTATGGCAAGAGTCAACTAGGTCTTCATTTCTGTGCTAACAGTAACTTACTCCGGTGAATCCTTTGGTGGGAACCCTGGCAAGGTAGCCACCTGCCCACTTTTCTGTGGGAGTGTCTTATTTCTCATTCTTCCTAGAATAGCCTGTCCAATGTTTTCCGCCAAGTACTCCAGCAAAATGATTGAAAAATAAAAGTTGGGTAGACCCAACGTCGGAGATGCACCATTATAATAAACATGAGGATGGATGTTCATGTTAATTTCCCTGCATAATGCTGATTCTTGTTGAACAGCTGAACTTCATTTCATATTTCATTTATGACTACACCCTTTTCCGAATACACATCACATATACTACTAGACACATCTAGAGTATACATGAGTATAAGAAGCATCTAGAGACACCTAGAGTATTTCAAAAGACTACATGGGTTCAAAAGACCCCATTCATATTAATATCAAATATCTCATTTGAAGCTAGTGCGGTGATTGAATATCTAGAGTCTTCATGTAAAGACTACCGGGATGCTAGTGTCAAAATTTTGCAGTATGAAAAAGATGTCTAGGTATTGGTATGATCTATAAAGTCCATTGCCATGTTGATAATGTTGGATAGTGACATAGGCTGGGCAGGATGTCAATGAGATAGGAGATTCACACATCTGGGTAGTGTGTTCTATTTGGTGCCAATTGAATATTGTGGAAAAGTGAGAAATAAATGGGCAATGCCCTTAGAACATTCGAAATGGTCTGGATAGACCATCTTTTACGGTCGAGGTTTTGGAAATCCAACCTATGACGCTGATGTGTGATGACCGCGTTGCACATTGTATCAAACACAGGGTATTATGTATCGTCTAAGCACATTGAGGTTGGTCGCCACTTTATACGAGAGAAGACATCATGAAATACTCAACTTCATTTGGAAAAGTTGTTCCAATTGAAGCAAGTAGATTGACCAAGATAGTGTACCATTCTTACTATTTCTTTGTTGATTATTTGGAGATAGATAACTTACAATACGAATGCTCAATAAGCGATGGGTTAATATGAAGGGCAAGCCGTCTCTTTTTTGGGCCACACATGAAAGGGGTAACCCCCCCCCCCCCCCCCCCCCCCACTTGGAGACTCAGAACTTGAGACCCCTTCCACACACTTCTTAGTTCTCACATTTTTAAAGGGATTGAGAAGACCAAGCACACACTGCTCCTATTTTTGTTACTACCTCATTGACCAAGCAGGGTCACTCCTTACCAAATGTCGGTGTTAGTCTTTTAAAAGGAAACTGTATCGTTGCATAAGCTCTTTATATATCGGAAATTCAGCAATTTTTGCAGATTCTATCCCTATCCCCAAAAAACAATGCATCAGATCTTATTTTCTTCCAAAGAAGTCATGTTTCAAAAAAAGAAGATACTATTCTTTGATTATAAATGTAATTGTTTAAAAATACGTTCCCAGAAAGTTAACCATTCTGAATTTTGCTTAACATACTAAAATATTAAGAAAACCAGGACAGTAATTTACAAGAGTTTTACGTTGCAGCAATTCAAGGTTGTACCTTTATGAATTTCATTCCTTTTTTTAGACGGAGGGAGTAATATTTGTTTTGTTCTTGGCTTGTATGTTTAGCCTGAGATGGAAATGGTGGCTCGAGGCCTTCAAAAGCTCTTAAAAGTAGAGCAGAGAGAATTTTTGATGGACACATTCAGAGGAATTTGTGGCGAATACTCTAGCAAAAGTGTGGCGGAAGCTCTTGGTGTGTCTGGTATGCCAATTTCTTGTTTGCCCTTCCACTGATCCTTCCAGTGCATTTGACCTTGAGTTTCATTCTCTCTTTTTGCACCTTGCATTACAAGTATTCGTTCTCAAGGTTTCCATTTGGTTAAAATCGATGAGTTTAATTCAGAGCAGTATCATCTTTGTACCTCTTTTGTGACCCTTTGCTTTTCTGCAAATGCATTTACAGGATGATGTGGTTCATCAACAAGAAGCAAAGTATCCACGGGCTTCATTAATCTTGGTACATATTAGTTTTACGCGTAGCTCATTTCACATGTGATATGTATTTTGGTTTAACACTTTCAATGCCATTATAAATTTGATTATTCCCAATGCCTTATGCAAATATTGATTAGAATACTCTAAAACATTGGCCTTTTACTGATCAAAACTATCAATTATTTATTTGTATATTCCAATAAGAAGTTTATGTGCCAATTTATATTTACTGTCGTACTTCTATAAACTTGTTACAGTCTGGTACTTTTAAAAATAGTATTCTCTGTGCTATAATAAAATTGAATGATGTTCATTCCACTTTTATTAATCCCCATTGACCAGTATAAATTCATCTTTGTCCTTCAGGTACATTCGTTCACAATAATTGCTTTGCCAAATGCACCATTATTTTCGAAATAAAAAGTCCCTAAATAGTAGGGGTGGATTTGGGCCGGGCCGAGTCCGGGTCGGGCCTAGGCCCGGGCGGGCCGCCGGTTCTGAATAGGTGGGCCCGGGACCGGACCGGGAAACCACCGGGCCGGGCCTCGGGTCAATTTTTTTTCCTTTTTCTAATTAACCCCTTTCCCACCCCCAAACCCCCAAACCACCCCAAATGGCCCAAAATACCCAGCCCAACCCGAAAAGTTAAAAAATTGAAAAAAATTTAAAAACCCGGAACCGGGCCCGGCCGGGTCGGTTCGGCTTTTGGATGACCCGAGCCCGCACCGGGAACCCCCGGGCTGGGCATACCCGTACCGGTCACTGGCCGGGCCACCGGGCCGGTTCAGCACAGTGCCGGTTCTGGGTCGGGCCACCCGGTCCGAGTCCACCCCTACTAAATAGGTTCTGGTTCATATGTATTAGCAAAATTTAATGAAAATATTGGTGTGCACGTTTACATAAACTTTTAGAATTATAGAAAAGTTGGATTCTTTTAAACGAGAAAATATAGGTAAAAACAATGGATTGTTGCCCGTTTTTCATTTTGGAAAGGAGTTGGTTTAAAACTTGAAATCAATTTCAGTTCTTCCAAAATATGACCATGTTCAGTAGTTTCAGTCCTGGTTCGGCCTTTTCACCAGAAAAATAATCTTAAGAAATTGGAAGTTTCTTGCCGATTCACAACAGAATTTTGATCGGTTTCGATATAATATCCTAACTCCTGAGTCTAATGGATCAACTCATTACCAGTCTAAAAAAGTAAAAGGATGATTTTTTTATTGAACGAAGATGCACATTAGTAAAATGAAAAATGCTTAGTGACTTAGTGTACACATGGTGTACACAAAGTGTACACCATATAAAAGGCCCAAAAAAATTCTCACTCCCCTCTTCTCCTTCTCTCTCTATTCCCCCCCCCCCCCCTCTCTCCTCTCTTTCCTTTTTATTACCCAACATTCGAATATCTAAAAAAAAATGAGAGACCATCTTCTCTTTTTCATTTTCCTCATCCCTTCTTCATTCTCTTTTTCTCTACCTTTTTATATCATTTTTTTTTCATTATTTGCACAAAATTAGCTTATTCATCTTATTCCGTCTAATTTTATTAATTATTTATTTTTTTCAAATTACATGTAAATTTATCACACATACAACTACATCATTCATTTGGATATATATAGACAATTAATTCTTTTTGTTCACCCAGACAATTGAAATTGATCACACCGACAACTATTGTCTGTGAGACGTACAACTATTGTCTGTGTGGTAAATATTGTCTTTGCACACAGATAAATAATTGTCTGTGCAATATGAAAATATTGTCTGTGCACACAGGCATCGTACATATATTGATTGATTTGCAGGCCGATGTCAATGTCAGACGACTGTCAGTTTACTTTTTACAAAAAAGTAAATGTTTGTGGGCACAGACAAAAGTTGTCTGTGTACACAGACAACTCTTGTGTGTGACCACAGACAATTCCGTACCAATTGTCTGTGACCGATATTTTGTGTACAACTTGTGTACCCCAAGCATTTCTGTTAGTAAAATACATGCTCAAGGAGTGTGTATTTCCTTATTTAGTAAATAATACTAGAGCTCGTTTGAGAACACTAACATTGGTTGAATAGTTAAGTTTGCTGAAATTCAAGAAATCGTGACTACATCTGTTCAATTATGCAAAAATTAAATTAGTAATATACTTTATTAATAAAATGGAGGGAAAATTATATGTATAATTGTTAAAATGACTTTCTGCAGTAATTTCAGTCAATTCAGTTAAAGAAGTAACTTTAACCTTACTTATTTTGATTATTATTACTAATCAAAAGTTAAGTGTTTAATAAAAAATGACTGATACGACTACTAAGCTGAAAAATATGGGTCCCTGAATGGCTTTTAATTCTTAAAAAAAGGATGACACCCCATCCCTGAGGGTCCCCCAACCCCGATCGGACAGTACGTTGGGAGGATGTAAGTTGGACTATAATCCCAATCTGACAGATAGAGAGTGAGGCCCTATGCATTTTTTAGCATAGTAACCCCTCATCGCAGTTGCCGGGATTCGAACCCGGGACCTAACCCTTGTGGCACTCCCTTCCTACCAAATTTCTCAAATAAGACCAAATCATATGAGATTTCCTAAACTAAGACCAATGCAACTCGTACGACCTAATTAAGATGGAGTGACAGTTATGCCCTTAATTAAAAAAGCGAAAGGACAAAAACATCGCCGGAGATCTCTGATTTATTCGATCGAGGGAGAGCCGCCCACTGACAGTGGAACCACTGCAATCTGGAGCCGTCGCCCACTAGCGGCACCACCAGTGCACTCCGTCGCCAGCAGCGTCAAGCTCCGGCATCTCCGTTGATGACATCCTCCCTGGATCTCCTTCGGAAACAACCACCTTCATCGATCTCCTCCGGCGGCGACCTCCTCCCTCAATCTCCTCCGCCGCTGCCGCCATGCCTCTTGACGACCTTTCAAAGTAGTTTCATCACTGGAAACATCGAAATTATTGTTATCAGAATTTATTATTCATTTATTGTCTACTTATTGTCTATTTATTATCTATTTAATGTCTGTTATAGCAGTGTAAGGTGGGGGTAAAAATGAAAAAAAAAAATTAAGGTTCCTAAAACTAGAACTAAATAGAGCATACGGATGGAAAAAAACTAAGTAGGTCCTAATCATGTAAACTTTGTATGATTTAGTCCTATTTTGCACAATTTTCTCTTCAGTAAAACGGCGAGTAGAATTTAGGGCGATGTGTTTGGAACTGATTCTGCATCTCTTCTTTTTTTAAAGCAGAAGCAGAATTAGAATAAGTTTTCAGAAGCTGGTCACTCTCATCTTCTAAAAAAACTAATTCTAGGAGTAAATTAGAGTATCAGAATCACTTCTGCACTTTCACCTAAACACTCAAACTTCTGCTTCTGCTCCCTGAAGGAGCAGAAGCAGTTTTAAGAATCAGATCCAAACACCCCCTTAAATTCTGTAACGACTGAATCTATTGATTTTGGTAAAGTTTATAAACTTCTAAGTGGAGTGGTTGGATTGGCTGATTCAGTTGAATTATGAAAAATGTATTTAAAATATATTTAATTAATAAAATAAATAAATAAATATATGAAAAAAATCAAAATATTCATTTAGAGTACTTCAGCCAATTCAGTCAGAAAAGTAACTCGAACCTTACTTACTTTGATTGTTACAGCTCATGAAAGCAAAAATTACGTGTCAAGTGAAAAACTTACGTACGTCGGAAGCCTGAGGTCATCAAACGGATTACTAGTATGGAAACGAATCTAACAAAATCATGATCTGCCTATTTCCAATTTCCCATATACTTTGTCGGGTCGTAGTTTGGGCCCATTGAGTTAGGGATTCAAACTTTTGGATGGTAAATGGCTAATACTTTTTTTATTAGGGAAAATAATAGTATGAAAAGTCATGATCATCCATTTGAACATCGAAGCAAAGCTCACCAACTGTGCTTCTTTTTGGATGTTCCAAAAGGTTGAAAATCCAACCTCTACCTCTAAGGTCCCCCCACACCCAGATCCGATAAGGTATTTAGGATGTTATAAGTGTTGGAAAAATGTGTTAAAAATTGCATTAAATCGTCATTTTGGGCAATTATTTGAGTGGGGTCCACTTCCGATTTGGGTCGGGTCAAAGTGGTTTCGGATTGTCCTTGTTAAGGGCTACAATTCGATATGTGGTACACTCAAAACGGATAACGGGTGAATGAGAAATTGATTCTCGAAGTTCACTCGTTGAAAGGGAAAAACTGGGAAAATGATGGGTTCCTAGTGTGTTTTATCCCACACCGAAAAACTCAAGGAATTTTCACCCCCTTATAAAGGGAAGCCTCTTTTAAGGAGTTAAGATTCCTAAGGGTAAAGGCTCTCTCTTACGCGCAGGGGGGGAGTGCCGATCAAATCCCGAAACGGAGAAGAAAAACCGCGACTCGTGTGCGCGGGCGACCTGCGAACACGGAAGTCGTCCGAAAACCTATCATTCAAAGGTGTTCCAATTCTGGTGGAGGTATTCTGATCGCGCACCAGAACTGCTCCAACTCTGATGGGGGTATTCTGATCGCGCACCAGAACTGCTCCAAGCCGTTACAGCCATTAAATGCCCAACGTTCTTGTCTTTTAATGCAGCGTTTAATGGACAGTTTATGGATGATTCAATGCCCAACGGACTGGTCATTGATGTCTAACGTTCAGGTCCATTAACACCCCATTTAACACACAACAAATCCTCCTATAAAAGGCTGGCATGTGCTTTGCAACAAACACACGGTTTGACAACGCACAATACATTCCTCACGTTTTCTTGACCAAAAAACTCTTCCAGCTACTCCCAAATTTCCCTAGTGTTCTGCTATTGTTCCAGTTCGCCGGGACTTTCATTTGTGTGCTCAAACGATCGTTCGTTAACCACCGTATCCTGGGAAGCGGTCGTTGCAACGCTCCTAGCACCGTGGGAAGCGACAAATACGTTTTAAGGACATCGTGCGTAGCACGAGCTCTGGCTAAAATCTGCTCCATCTTATTTTCTGTTTTCTTTTGGCTATTTTGTTTATCAATTAATTTTATTTAATTAATATTTCTTCGTTTTTCAGAAACACACCCAACAATAAGTCACATTGATAGACCTTGTATCCGTGCGCAACAGAGATCCAACCCAGAAGGAGTTGTAACCTTCACACGGTTACTGCGAATTTCGGTTCTTGGTCAATATTCCAACTTTCACATCACTCAACGTAACCAACATGAGCTACCGGTCGTG